AAAATCTTGTTTAATATACGCAAATGACCTGCAGAGGATTGATTCGCAATGTTAGCGTGAAGAAAGCTATTGAAATTAACTCTAGTGCAAAATTATTTTCTTTAATGATCACTAAATAGTGTTTTCTTTCTCAGTGCTACTACTGCAAACTACCCCTTTTATTCATAAAAAATTGCACCGTTCTTATTAAAGCATCTATCTTTTTTCAACACAGCGTTAATATAATACGTCAGAAAGAGACAGAGTGCATGGCATGATTTAGTTTTTATAAAGTATATATCCTGTACTATTTCAAATTAAACTGTGTACCTAGTCAAGAACTAAAGAATAAATTGGCATCTAAGAAAAAAAACTTCTTATAAGAATTTAATAATAAATTATGGTTTGTCTTGTTGTTTTGTTTGTATGATGTACTTTTATTAATTCTAAATACTTTGTAGGTTAATCAAGTTTCCGTCGGCGCATAACTTTGACTACGAACCTAAAATTGGTTTTGATTCTAGAGAAATTTTATGCATTGAACTAATACTATAAAAAATGCGTTTGTTGAACTAATACTATAAAAAATGCGTTTGTTGAACTAATACTATAAAAAATGCGTTTGTTGAACTAATACTATAAAAAATGCGTTTGTTGAACTAATACTATAAATAATTCAAAGCAAATATTTGGTTTAAAATAATATATATTTTTACTTTAATTATTGAATTAACCATACAGTGTAGAAAGGAAACTCTGTAGAAAAAATAATAATTGAAATTTTTAATTGAAATGTCATATAGAACGCAGAGCAGTGTTGGCCTAGTGGCTTTAGCGTGCGACTCTCATCCCTGAGGTCGTAGATTCGATCCCTGGCTGTGCACAAATGGACTTTCTTTCAACATCGTGAGGAAACCGGCCTGCTGACAGAAAACGTCGACGGCGTGTCAGGTACATAGTCTAGTCGACAAGTTGAAAATGGAACAAAATAGAGATACTGCTCTTAAAATTATGTGCGATAGCTCATTCGAACCGGAATGACGCCTAGAAAAATGTGCTAAAAGCGTGTATTAGCACATAAAAAATTGCAAAAGTTATAGACCATTAAAGATGAAAAAAAAATGGAATTTAGTTTTTTACCAATATTTAATAAACTATTAATATTTAAGAAATTTCAAATAAAGATTCTGAAAGAGGAGGAAATTTCCAATAAAAAACTCTCAGCTCCCGGAACTCTATCTCCATTATTTATAACTTTAATTTAACGCTGAAAATAGGTCTGTGCGTGACATTTTTAGGATTCGCGCGTGGCGTCAAAAGCGACTACGGCACATTAATTAATTTATTTAAGGTATTGAATATTTTTTTTAAATTTGAAAAAATTATGGTGTGTTCTGAACACTATAATTAATTTATTCCCGTTGGAAATTTTACTTAAAGTTAATTTTTCAACAAGTTAAATAATTGTTAACTAACGAAATTTTCTCGAACGACCGTCTTAATTGTAAGTGAAAAAAATGTTTTAATAATGGTCGTAAAAATATTTCGCTTCGTAGAGCCTTTCTTACATACATACTTAACAAGATCGTGCCATAAAAGTTAAAGAAATATTTATACTTTGTTTATAACAATTTTTTTACTTAAACAAAAACTTAAAAATCCAAGTAATGTTGTTAAAAAAATTTTTTTTTCTAAATCATCATATTATCGTTTTTATATTAATACAAGATATTTATTGATTTGCAAAAAAAAATTTCCCGCCATTTGTTGATAATTTTTTTTAAACAAATTGATTAAATCAATTGTTTTAAAAAAAAAATTTCACAACTTTATTACATTACAAATATTATGATTGTTTAAAAAAAAAATTTCCTTAATAACATATTTTAATTGTTTATAATCGTTTTTTTATATTTCTATTGTTTAAATAATTAGTTAAGAAATTTTTTTTTCTAAAAATCATAATTCACAATCCTCTATAAAGTAACAGAAAAAAATTATTTTTTTTAATCAACAATTCTATTGTTTATTAACTTACCAATTTGTTATAAACAAATGTTCAACTTTTTATATTTTTTTTCTAAAACTTCTAAAATTAACAAAAACAACCATATATAACAAAATATAGAAAAACATTTTTTTAATTTTTTTGATTATCATGAATATTACTTTTATTAAAAAAAATTTTTTTTTTTTTTATAGACTTTGTTATATATGTTTGTTTTTGTTAATTTTAGAAGTTTTAGAAAAAAATATAAAAGTTGAACATTTGTTTATAACAAATTGGTAAGTTAATAAACAATAGAATTGTTGATTAAAAAAAAATTTTTTGTTACTTTATAGAGGACTGTCAATTATGATTTTTAGAAAAAAAAATTTCTTAACTAATTATTTAAACAATAGAAATATAAAAAAAACGATTATAAACAATTAAAATATGTTATTAAGGAAATTTTTTTTTAAACAATCATAATATTTGTAATGTAATAAAGTTGTGAAAATTTTTTTTAAAACAATTGATTTAATCAATTTGTTTAAAAAAAAATTATCAACAAATGGCGGGAAATTTTTTTTTTGCAAATCAATAAATATCTTGTATTAATATAAAAACGATAATATGATGATTTAGAAAAAAAAATTTTTTAACAACATTACTTGGATTTTTAAGTTTTTATTTAAGTAAAAAAATTGTTATAAACAAAGTATAAATATTTCTTTAACTTTTATGGCACGATCTTGTTAAGTATGTATGTAAGAAAGGCTCTACGAAGCGAAATATTTTTACGACCATTATTAAAACATTTTTTTCACTTACAATTAAGACGGTCGTTCGAGAAAATTTCGTTAGTTAACAATTATTTAACTTGTTGAAAAATTAACTTTAAGTAAAATTTCCAACGGGAATAAATTAATTATAGTGTTCAGAACACACCATAATTTTTCAAATTTAAAAAAAATATTCAATACCTTAAATAAATTAATTAATGTGCCGTAGTCGCTTTTGACGCCACGCGCGAATCCTAAAAATGTCACGCACAGACCTATTTTCAGCGTTAAATTAAAGTTATAAATAATGGAGATAGAGTTCCGGGAGCTGAGAGTTTTTATTGGAAATTTCCTCCTCTTTCAGAATCTTTATTTGAAATTTCTTAAATATTAATAGTTTATTAAATATTGGTAAAAAACTAAATTCCATTTTTTTTTCATCTTTAATGGTCTATAACTTTTGCAATTTTTTATGTGCTAATACACGCTTTTAGCACATTTTTCTAGGCGTCATTCCGGTTCGAATGAGCTATCGCACATAATTTTAAGAGCAGTATCTCTATTTTGTTCCATTTTCAACTTGTCGACTAGACTAACAGGAGGCTGATCACCTACTTGCCTATTACATTGACAAATGATCATGAAACAGATACAGAAATCTGAGGCCCAGACCTAAAAAGGTTAAAACCTTGCTAAAGCACTACTGAATGTTTTTTTGTGTCAGAATGTGTACCGGAACGGAACTCGGTAGTTGAATTGAAAATTTAGTTTTAAAATTATTAAGTATTATTAAGATTGTATCAACTATTGAAGAAAGGGTTCTTGCCATTGCCCCCAGATATTCAGCCTGACTTTCCCAAGATTTACTATACTGTTTCATATTAAATTAAATTTTAGTGTTTTTTATTGAATTACTTTTAGATTGCTATACTTACATAAATAAATGTTGAAAAATCCAATATTAAATAATATTAATTCTTCCGATACCAAATGATTTTGAATTTAAATTGATAACGTATTGGATTATTCTTTAAGAATAGTGTGTGTGTATATTTTTTGATCGTTAATATTAAAGACTATATACTCTCTTTTTTTTAAGCTGTGCTGAAAAGAGACAGATGGGTTCTTAATTTAAGGAGTGGAATCAGTCTCGTTAAAGAAGGAACCATATACATTATAGTTACATTGTAACATTTTAAACTAAATATGATATTTACGATATATTTTAGGTATAGTAATTAGCCGACGCTTCCGTCCGTTATCGTTTGATTGTGATAAACAGTATTGGAATTATATATTTTTATCGTTTAAATTAAAGTTTCCTGACTTATATAATTATATAATAATATACGTCTAATAATAAAATATATGATTGGCTTCTAATAGTTATTTATACATTTACAGCGGTCAAAAATACAATAAGAATTTCTTAATATAAAATATACAAAAAATTACTTATAAATCTTTGATTTTTAAGTTAAAAGAGGCTGATTTTTTAACTTTAAAAAAAATTGTAACTTAGAAGAATTTTCAAAACCTTTAGAGATCGTACATCATGAATAACAATTCTATAACATTATACTTTGAGAAATATATTAGTTAACATAACTGCCAAGTTGGTTCTCTTATATTATAAAGATTTATATTTTAACATCTTTTTTACGAATAAACTTTAAAACTACTCCATTTCTATCTCTTTCACTATTAGACCGCTGTTTTGATGCAGTATATTTATATCAAAATATTAAAACTGTCAAACCGAAGCAATCCGCCATTGTAATAATACAAAATTAATATAGATTAAAGTAATAGATATAACGTTCCTGTTGACATGATCTAGACTCTATGGTTATAATTTATCTATGACAACACCGCACGTGTGGCAATTCTAATTGGAGTATTCTGTTTAAATTATACACATTGTTAAACGTAACTGTCCACCCATAAGTCTATGATAACCTATACAGACTGGAAACTAGACTATAATTATCAGATCTTCGTTAACATCTAGCCAATTGCGTAAAGGATGGATATTTAACTATGAAAATCTTACCAATGGTATAATGTGTTTGTTTACACGTTACAATTCAATAGGTCAACTCCTCAGCCTGTATCACTGAGCACCAAATCTCTTGTTATCCGTCATAATCTGCTAGAAGCCGGTGGATTATGAGCACGCGACAATCCGTCAACCACTAACGTAAACACAAAACCGATAGCTATAAATCAAAGCGCACGAACGAATCAGAAATCCGCTAAATCCTTGCGATCGCGTAAAAAATACTAGTATTAAAAACAGTCTTAAGTGGGCTTACGACGCGCGGTACCGTCCGCACTGACTCTAATCTCGGCCACTTCCCGACGCAATTTGAACCTAACTCCACCACTCTATACATCATCCGCTGGCGACCGCCCACCGCGCCGCCGCGCACTGATACACTTATCCCCCTCACACGCGTACATTTCCCGCATACATCCGTCTCTGTCGCCCTGAAATCTCGTGTAGATTTTTCAGTGCGTACGGGAGCGGGGGACGCAGTCAGCTGGCCGAACTTATGCGGATAAAATCGACTTTTTATCGGTTCATTGTGACGCTTCGTGACGTCACTGTTTACTTCCGTAGACATACATTAGAATTTGAGTTCCATTTTCATTTTTATATAGTTAAGTTGAAATGTGTACAATCGAATATTTCAATATGTATTTCCTTATCATTTATCAGTGATATTCAAAGATAAAGTGAACAATAAAGTGCGTAGTTGCAAGAAGCTTGAAAATTAATATTGGTGAGTGCTCCGAACTTCGGGGTTTATTTAAATCGTGCAATATGTTTTCCTTATAGCAAACAAATGATTGCAGTTTAAATCTCGCTCTGCAGCGAGCCGCAATAAATAAGTGGATCGCAACGTAAACAGATCGAGCGCATTAACCGCCTCGCCGTATATAAAGAGAGTATAAATATAAAGTTCCCACTCGCTGCCGCGCAAACTTAGCTAAACAACGCCATAATTGCCTTCATTACTTAAATTACTAAAATTATTTATTCAAAAAGCTGGCAACATTTAGGAGCGGGAGGCACCGCCCACCGCCGTGTTTGCGCCAATGGGGAGGCGCGCGGTGCGAGTGGGATGGGCGACAAATATGGCGGCCACGTACCAAACTTCCTTATGCGACAGCGACGGCTTGACGCTACGACTGTTTACAGTTTTCCACGCTTTTTTCATAAGAAACCAATAGTTTAATTAATCAATTCGTCTATTTGTAGTATTGTGAAAATGTGATTTGTGTATATAGAGTCGAAAATACCAAAACCGCCCAAAAATCGAATGCCGACGGCGACGTGAATTACCCTTGTTTTATACTTTTGGAAATCTAATTATTACAGTTTATATTTTTTTATTTCGTGAAATAAAAATTGTGTTCATCAATTTCAATTCACATTTTTTTTCAAATAGAATAGAATTGTAGTAATCAATTAATTAATTTGTGGGTGTGTAAAGATCAATTGTAATAATATTGTAGGTATGTACCTAAATTGTACAGTTGAATAGTAATCTAATATCAATAATAATAATAATATTGTGTATATTTAAAAATAGGGTATAGTAATAATAATGTGCTAGTGGAGCAATCAATTGGTCTATACCTATTCGTGAGAGTTTTTTTTATAGAACAGGGAGCAAACGGGCAGGAGCCTCATCTGATGTTAAGTGATACCGCCGCCCATGGACACTCTCAATGCCAGGGGTCTCGCGAGTGCGTTGCCAGCATTTTAAGAATAGGTACGCTCTTTTCTTGAAAGATCCTAAGTCGAATTGGATCCAAAATACTTCAGTGGGCAGCTGGTTCCACGTAGTGCATTAAAAACGCTCAGTTGTGGAACGATGAGAGTGATAGCGAATATTAAATATTGATAATTATTAATATTTAAGAGCAATGTTAGTATCAACTTTGAGGTAGTGCGTTCGATTCACGGCTGTGCACCCAACTATCTATCTGCGCATTTAACACGCTTGTATGGTGAAGGAGAACATCGTGAAGAAACCTGCATTCCTTAGATCTAAAAACGGTTCATCACCTACTTAAGTAATAAAAATTATCACAAAAGACACTTAGAGCGAGACAGTAGAGCGACACTGTTTTTTTATTAATAAGAATATGTATACATGTTAAAGCCTACTTTCCTTATGAAATAAAAATAGTGTTACGTATTGTTAAGTGTAACGAAATAGTATAGTTAGAAAGGAAAACATTAAAAACAATTGAACGATATATGTTTTTATTTTATATCCTTTTAGCTTGTCCCTATTCATAGTGACCTCACTCTTGTTCACAAAAGTAAAAAAAAATTGTGTAAAAGTCAAATTTATTTTATCAAAATATACTAACTACAAATAAAATTTTACGAAATCATTAACTTAATAGAGGTTCAGCGACAAACATAATCAAAAGTCAAAATCATTTATTCATATAGGTAACACGATGTACACTTATGAACGTCAAAAAATAAATATACTTTAAATGCTTCTAATACTTCTAACAAACTATTAGGTAACATGAATTTAGATTATTTATAACTGCTGGAACGCTTTAGGAATTTTCATACAAATTTTACAGAAACAACTTAGGTTGGTTGGAATTATTTCTTATCGAAAATGAGAGCATACGTCACAATTCACATATCACGTCATGCTTTATAAAAGACTACGTTTTCAAATTTTAATTTAAGTCAATGTAACTAGTGACTTGCAACGAGGTTAATTTGAAGAACGAGTCACTGAAGAATTAAACCTTCAGGTCATATCAAAATAATCTTTCGTTATTTTCTAAAAAACGGTTCGTAACACGTAATTTGATTATAGAAACCGTATAAATACGTAAAGCAAATTAAATTTACAATACCTACTATTAATAATTTTTAGAAATTACTTTTTACACAACTAATTCAGTTAATAATAAACGGCACAAATATAAGAGTCTTTCCTCCAACTTCGATTTTGTTCCTTTTGGACCCCACGGCCCAAGAGTCTCTCTTGGGCCGTGGGGTCTAAGTGCACAGGCGCTTATTAAAGATTTAAGTAGATAGTACCGCGAGGAAATCATGCCAGCATTAAAGGTACACTGCCACAGGGACCAAACTTTTTACATTTCTTTTGATTTTGTTTTTAATAATTTGTAATTACTTTTATTATTAAATTTGTAAAAATTGTATTCAGTTAATTGATTTTGTTACTACTTAGAGAAATTACCATAAATATTAGGTCCTTACATATGAAATTGGCGTTTTGTATGGGAGGAACAAAAAGTCGAATATTTTTAAATATAATATATTTAATTAATCAAAGTATGAACCATTGTTTTCTATGCACTTTTGCCATCTCATAGGTAGTTCATTGATCCCTTTACTAAAAAAACCAGTCGGACGGGAATCAATAAAATCTGTGAAGGCGATTTGGACAGAGTTAAATTTTTTCCCTTGCAAGAAGTTGTCCAAATTTCGAAAAAAATGGTAATCTGTTGGAGCAAGGTCCGGGGAGTACGGAGGATGTCTTAGACATTCCAATTGAAGCTCTTCTATTTGGTAGCCGCCTGTTGTGCAGTGTGTGGTCTAGCGTTGTCGTGAAGTAGCAGTGGCGTGGAGCGATTGACCAGCCTAGGTTGTTTAGCCGCTAGCTTCTCCATCATGGTTTGCAATTGCTGACAATAGACATCAGCCGTAATAGTCTGGCCAGATTTGAGAAAACTGCAATGAACAATACCGGCACTAGTCCACCAAACGCTTACAAGTAACTTTTTTGGGGTTAATTTTCGCTTGGGGCAGGATTTGGCTGGCTGGCCAGGATCCGAATCCATTTTTCATCACAGGTAATGATTCGGTTTAAAATACCTTCATAATTGTGCCGGTTCAGTAATGTAACGCAGCAGTCGACGCGCGTTTGCCGGTTTGCTTCAGTCAATTCGTGAGGTACCCATCTTTCAAGCTTTTTAATCTTCCCAATTTGCTTCAAGTGAATTAAAACAGTTTTATCACTAACACCGCAGCCTGCAGCTAACTCGGACGTGGTTTGCGATAGATCCGCATCCACAATAGCCTTCAATACTTCATTATCAACTTGGGTCTCAGGCCGTCCACGGGGCTTGTTCTGCAGGTCTAAATTTCCAGAACGAAAACGTTGGAACCAAAAACGAACTGTGTTTTCTTTTGCAACATGACCGCCATACACATCATTCACCCTTCGAGTCGTTTCCGCAGCAGTGCCACGGCGGAACTCGTACTCGTAAATAATGTGATACTTTAAGTTTTCCATTTTGTAAAATGAGTGACGCAAACAGAAAAAAACAGAAGAAAAAAACAAATGAATGACGGTCATCGAAGCACAAATACATGAGTAAATAGCTGTACAAATTTGAATTTGGAATTCCTTACCAAAGAGGAGAACATCTTGATTAAAGTGGCCAGTACGAAATACGCCAATTTCATATGTAAGGACCTAATATATAGCTAAATTCCAACTAAAATTTAATTAATTCTAGCTCCACAGTAATTATGCACAAAATATTCTGTGCCCTGCATAATTAATTAATCATATTATCCACTATTACCTGCTGATTAGTACCGATGTCCTTATGTCCCTATTAATACTAATGTTATTGTAGGCAGATTTGTCCGTATCACTCAATAGGTATTACGTAGGCTATCATTAGACTGCGATGGTTTGATTAGGATGATTGCATAATTAATTAACAAGTCATATTTATTCCTAAGCTACCACCCGCTGTAATTTGCGACCGTTATATTTCAGTCAATATACATAAAACTATAATTAATTATACACATTTAAATGTGTGTGTAAGTTGTATGTAAGTGTGTGCTCCTATTTCACCATGCCTCCTGCTGATAGAGGACAAATCTTTGTTTTTAATTTATGTAATTATTATTAATTAACTATTAATTACTTAAGATGTCATGTGGAACGTGGTGTAATGTTGCAGCTCCTTACAAACATAACACTGTGTAAAACAAAAAACTTAGCGATTAAAAATAGTGGCGGAGAGTTTATTGCCAGTTCTTCTCTTCCGTTCTACGCCCTTGATTTGGGAACTGGCAAATGTAATATTAGAAGCATTTCATATTTATTTTTACGTTCATAAGTAAACGAATAAATGGTTTTGATTTGATTTGATTTACATGTTCCTCAGGAATCACACTATTGGTGAGAAAACTGAATAAAGATCTTTATGGAAGTTTTAGGTTCGGTACACAAAGGTCTGCAATTTGTTTTTAAATAATTGCACGTAACACGTAAATGTCGAAGTTATTCAACTTCTTGATACCACGGGCCTAGTAAGGAGATTGAAAAGGACAATTCGAATTAGTGAATTAGTATGAGTGCACGTTAGTCTTAAGTGCTAAACAGTTGTAAATGAAAAACAAATAGTACACAAGAACAGAGTGTCTTCCTCTTAATAGAAACTATAAATAGTGTAATTGGACACTTTCTTATGTTATAATATATTCCTTTTAGTACATTTAAATTACTTGATAGTAAAAGTTAAGCTAGATCGTAATGTTAAATGATGTCTTTGTGCAGAAACAATTAAAAAAATAAATAATATCTATACAATA